GCGCCTATTATCACTTCGTCTACGATATCGGCAACTATAAACTCGTAATTCTCCGATTTATTGGCAATAGTTGCCGTGTACTGCCGCGGGCTCCCCCGTTGCTGTGCGCAGTCTGACTCCATTAAGTTGCGTTATTTTTCCCTTTACCAGATCTGATCTTATGATGGATCGATTTAGTTTAACGGTGACTCATTGGTGGACTGTTGAGCCATTCTTCTACCATCTTTCGTTGGAGGTGGTGACGATGACCTGGATCGTTTGCGCTTAACTCTGCATTCGCGCGCAATATGACCTGCTTTATCGCAGTTGTAGCATCTAACACTGGGCTTAGTCATCCCTACTAACTTTGTTTCTTCTATTACCTGCCTCATGGCGTCCTTGATCGAGTTAACGAGAGATTTGGGTTCGCAACATTCGGTCTCCAGTTGGCGAATCTTGTGGGTCTGGGGCTTAACAATTATTCTTGCCGTCTCTTAGGCAAGGGCAAACGACACGGTTTTGGCAAATGACGCTTTAGGTGACGCATATGTTGCACATTTAATCTCATGGTCACGTATGCCATTCACAAAGGTTTCGATTTTCATACGGTCCAGCAATGGGTGATTCTCTCCTGGATACGTCATTAGCACCAAACGTTCCATCTCTGCTGCAAAGTCTTGTAACGTCTCGTTTGCCCTCTGTACTCTTCTCCTTAGTTCCATAAGGTAGATGTTTTGTTTATGTTCGCCACCGTACTTACGTTCCAGTGCAGCAATAACATCTTCATAGTTGTTTCTAGAAGCGACAGGAATACTCTGTATAACATCAGCAGCACTGCCCTTCAATGCCAGAAGTAGTGCAACCGCTTTGTCGCTGTCGTTCCACGAAATTCTAGAAGCCACTGTCTCGAACTGTAACTTGAAAACATTGAATGACGTAGAGCCGTCGAATACAGGTGGTTTGATTTTTAGTGTGTTATCAGGAACTCGCACCGGACCACCTTTAATTTCCAGTTCCGACATTTTCTTCTCCAGATTCGTAAACCTGTGGTCGTGGACCAGAAATTTCTCATCCACAGACAGAATCTTCTCGTCAACCGACTGCACTTTCTTATCCAACTCGTTTCCACTCTCCTTCCAATAAATTCGAGTTTCTCGTTCATTATTCTCCAATTTTCTTCTAACTTTCTGAAATTCTCTTCGCTCCTTCTGGAATTTTCCTCAAACATTTTAGCCAGCATTTCTCTTAAATCGTCACCCCTGGCAGCTACTGACGAGGCTTTCCCACCGTTGGATTCGCCCATTTCCGATAAATCCACTTCATCCTTACCGTCAAACTCATATGTATCGATGTTCATACCACGGCGCTCGAACTCATCCAACAATTCCAATTTATTGAGCTCCTTCTTCAAGTCTTCCACTCGTATATCCTTAAACTTCATCGTAGTATTATCGTAATCTCACTTCCGACACCAATTGTTACGTTCTTGGGTTTTACCTTATCCCGTGTAGACGTTGTTTTATTTCCCAATACAGTTCGTGCCAAATAAAACGCGGGTTCTTTCTGATTACGAATATTACAATGATTTTATTGACACAACTTTACTTTGCACTTTACTTTACAGCTTTAAGTTACTTGACGGTTTCATTTCGTGATCTGATTCACAACTGACTAACTGCCTTGCCATTCCCCCTATTTATATGAAATAAGAAGTTTCTAGACGATCTGGTAACATCTAGATTTCGAACAATCTACCAATGCAACAAACACATACAAACTTACATTGAGTGAACAATAACAACAACACATATACAGGCGAGGGAGTAACAAAGAAAGAGGAATTAAGCGAGCATCAATGATGATGTTTAACAAGAATTGTACGTCAACAACAAAATAGAAAATGGAAGGAGGTAGAAAAATCTATACAGTAGTTATTGTTGTGAAGTTATTCGAATAAACTACGTAGTAGAAATTTACGTTACAATTCAAATTCTTAAATTAACGGAATTCATCTAAATTAACATAAATCTAAAGGTAACAGTATATTCGTAAGTATGTAGTAGCCTTTTTTTTAATACATTCCAGTATTTTTTCCATTTTCTTGTTTCTTTTTTTATGTTTCAAATATACAGAAAGAGGCAACCAAGGCGTATTACTTTGAAGGTTGTCTATGTTGGTGGTCCCTAATCCTGTATTGCTGTTTTGTGTTGACTTTCAAATTCAAAATCAATATTCCACAATAAAAAAAGTTCGAATTGGAATTTAGAAAAGATGTATTTCCTTTACTCTAATCAGGCCCACACAACCAATCTTCATCAAGCGTCAAATCAAAAAGGAACGAAATTTATCCATTTAATAAATTATAAACAAAAGAAAAAATATGATGACAGGAGCCTCATCATATTTTTTCTTTTGTTTATAATTTATTCCAATTCTCTCAGTCGTGTTTTGTTTGACATTATTCGGAAACGTATGGTTTGACTATTGTGAATGATCGTAAATATGCATGCTTCTTCTTATTCCCAATAGCAAAAAGAGGCGCACCCCACAAAGCCAACTATCCTGCTGATATCCCTATCAAAGGATAGGAGGAAAAAAGTGCGACAAAAATATAAAAACAAAATAATTAAAAAATTCCATCTGGGGTGTTTTTAAAAGTTTCGGTATTCGAAATCCCTCCTTTTGTTGTGATCTGGCAACCCTAAATATTAATTCTGAGCAAAAATTAATTATTTACAACATCAAGTTTTATTTGCACATGTAAAAGGCTAACCTCATATATTGGTTTACCATGTGTAAACCGAGTGTAAAAATGACGTCATACGCCAAGCGTTACGGTTTAGTGTGGCGCAATATAACATATGGGCAACTGACGTTTATGAATGAAAGCGTTGGGGACGCTTAAATGGCAACATTATTTGGCGGCTTGGATCACGGACGGACGGAATTATTAAATAAAAAGGTAAGTAGAGTGTAAAAAAAATAAAGTGAATATTAAAATTAATAAAAAAATACGTGAAAGTGTCGGGTTATTGAAATAAGTGAGTGTAGTGATTGTGAAAAGTGTTTAAAGTGTAGAAAATTAATGAATGAAAAATCCTATTGTAAATATACAGTGCGGGTGTATGTGAAAATACTGCAAGTGCAAATAATGAATGAAAAATAAAATAAGAAATAATTCTAAAGAAAATTATGATTAAATAGTAAAGAACAAGAAATAATTGAATAATAAAAATTATAAACTCAAAATTAATAATATAAAATTAAAATCGGTAATATAATGAAATTAAACAATTGAGTTTGGCGGAAACCTAGTGTTCGAAAACTTAGAATGTTTTCGAAAAATATGAGTGATAAAAAAATAGTACTAAACTTTGAGTGATAAATATGAAAGAGAATGATAATGAGCAAAAAGAATCAAACTAAAAATGGAAACTGCGGAATCAAAACAAAAAGTGAAAATAAATGAATGAAAATATAACTATGGAAAAAAAGAAAAACTAAGCAAAACAAAAAAGAAAATATTAATAAAAAATAATTTAAAATGAATCAAGACAAAATAAAGAGGAAAACGTTAAAAATAAATATTTTTGTGTTGAGATCTAGATTCTAATAAAGCTTTGCAAAACGTACATGGATTTTTAAAGGAAATAAAGTTTAATACACAATTTTTTAAGCATTTAAATCAAAGTGTTGAAATAAATAACTTTTTGGAATTTAAACCCGTACGAATTTAGTCGCAAAAGTTTTAATAAGAAAGTTTTGTGAAAGTCTGAAATAACGGTTAAATAATTATACGGTTAAACGAATATATAATGAATAAAAAACTTACATGATGATTAAACCAACTTGAAATTAATTGTTTTAAACTTTCCTCTAAAATTGTGCAATATTGAAACAATATTGTGAAATAGCGAAATTAATAAAAACTGCGGCAATGGAAGGAATAGTCCAAAGTGATCAAAAGGAAATAAACTATGCGGGATAACAAAAAAAGGAATGTAAATAAAATTTTAAACTATGAATTCAACCATTACTAATTATCGTTTCTATCTTTTTCTATTTTCAGATTTTGGATGGTCTATCACAAAATAATCTTGCTTTCTTTCTCCACTACAGGTGTACCATCAACTAGACCACCAGCATTAGTCAGGGTGTCGGATACGCAAGTATTTCAAACTCATCAATGTGAGTTTGATCGTGACTTCCCTGCTTCCAGATTCTAACGTCGTAATTCGAATCTCGACTGATCCGCGATCGTGTGTACAACACTCCCCTGCCTTGTGCCAAAGATGCGAATGGGTATATAAAGGGGGAGTGCACTCAAAGGTCAAGACAGTCACAACCGTGACTGCTTAGGAGTCGTTGACATAAAGTTAGAGTAGGTAAACCTTTGTTGCTTTCTGTCGTACTCTGACTACAACTTTCCGACTTTTGCTGGCTGATTCTAAAAGATCGGACTCCTGCTAGTCGGTGCAAAGTAGACTAGATTTCGGAACTCCACCATCAACCATACTATCCGTAGAAACCAAAACAGAAACCACTGACGGAAACTATCTGCTGATCAGGATCTACGATTCAAAAATGTAAGTTACGGCCTCCTTTTATAATATATAGAGTATTTAAAGATTAATATAAAAAACATAGTTTAGATTCTATCCAATGAAATAAATATGATTTTTCTCAGATTAAAAGAAATTGAAATTAGGTTAAAATACTCGCAGAACGACTTGTTCTGGCTTGAGATTGCATAGCACTCTCACCATTTTATATATTTATATTAAACTTATATGCCTTTACTTATACTCTACTAATTCACATATTTCCCCTATACTTCCATGGTCTAACACTACGAGAAATTTGCACCATACACTCTAAACACAACACACTGGATAAACTTTTGCTATTCTACAGCTTGGATTATAAGCATATCTGGAATTCTTAAGTAGTACTTCAGGTTAGTAACATCCTATTGATTATTCTTAAAACGTATCTAATATAAAACTCTTATTCCATTCTAGGTATTGCTGACTTCAAACTGAGGAATGATTTGCCACTACTCTGGATTAATTCAGGTGAGTAGAAAACTTATTTTAGAAATTCGATCAATAATTTTATATATTTTATATTCACTTAAAATTAAGAAAACTAATTCATTGATTTTGAAAAAAATTGTAAGATAAAGACTCGATAAAAATTCAAATTTTCTCAGAAAAAAGAAAATAAATCAGTTGAATAACAATTCAAGTCCAACCTGATAGGTTGCGAAACTATTTAAAAATCGTAAAAAAACATTGTATACGTCTACTAGAATGAAATTTATTGACTATTTATACAAGATCGACGTACACGATATATTTAACGCGAAATCGTTAAATTATGATTTTAAATTAAAGTTTTAATTCTTACACGGCTTTGAAGGGTTTCACTTCAGTAATTCAATGTTGGAATCCTTCAAACAACTGCTATAACCTAACGAACAAGTGATTTAACCTCACTAGATTCGATTTTCTAGACACAATCTAAAAAAGGTATTTATCCTTTTTCCTAGTTACGTTGGAAAAGAATTTTGCTTCAGCTGCCTGAGATATGACGTTTATTTTGTCTTCAAAATTATATTTATGTGAGAGATATTCCTTTAATATTTCCACTAAATGATATCCAGTCCCATTGTATTTGCCTTTCGATTTAAGAAATTCAACAATGTGAGACTGGTATTTTATACGAAAGGGGGCTTTAATGAACCACTTCTTGGTATTTAGATTCCCGAAGATATACTCTAAAATATTGTGATGAAATGGTTTTCTGCTTGGATCGAATTTTTCATATGTTTGTTACATTTCTTTCGAAACAATCCGTCCTTTGGTGCACCAATCATAAATTAAACGAAAGTCTGTCATTTTCAAAGACTTGAACCAGTCAACCGAGTTTTCTGAATTGAAATTGACAACCGGTTTGTTGTTCACATCATAACATCGAATAAAATTATCATCTGAGACATTAGCATTGTTGGGAAATTTTTCCTGTGGCAATTCTAGTGTCTGCTTAACAGTCTGCGAAACTTGTGAGTCTTGATGATGATTTCTAAACAGCCAACGGTCATAGCGTTTGCCCAATTTTATTACCAACCCTCCGTCATCTCTAGATTCCGGATTGGCACATGAATTTGTCTGTTTATTGGGGCCCGTTTTAATCTCACCTAATTGTTCTGCTACTGCAGCGTTGGTATCTAAGATCTGTATAGTTTTGACTTCGGCCTTCGGCGAATATTGCCCAAACTTTGCAACGGGTGATAAGAGAACTTGAATGTTGTTGTCTCTAATCGTGGATACCAAGATCATATCCGAAACATCGTTCATTGCTGAAATTGCACCATCTTGCTTCGTGTATTCCGGTGTAAATGATTCCTCAAGCTGTTGATTTTCGAAACGCTGTATAGAATATGGCATTATTGCAACTCCTGTATATGATTTTGGATGATTTGCCATTTGATGATGCTTGGCGTCTACGGTTGCTACTCTTGCAGTTGCTGCTCTTTGTACCATATCTCCGTCGGTGACACATTGCTCTTGGAACGATCATCTTCGGCAATCACTGAGCATCCTGTGGATCTAGGTGTACCACTTTCGAAGTATATTCATAGGACATTACCTGCTGGTGTAGCTCTCGCAGACGTGCTATAGGTTGATGCTGCCGAGCTTCCAAATAAGTCGATACTAAATTCTCGATGTTTTGCTCCGGATATTTTTTCGGCGTATTTTGACCAAAATGCTGTGGAGCTAAAGCTGGTTTCAATGCGGTAACTTCACTAGGCACTGGAGAATCTTCAGGTGTCTGAGTCACCGCTGGTGGTACCCTACCATTTGACGCGTAAGGTTGAAGACAGGCTTCAAGAATACTAGGTATAAATTCCTTCATTCTTTGTT